TCGCCTGTCCGGCGCCTATCTGCCGGTAAAGACCGAAATCGCCAGAGCGAGCTTGGAAATTAAAAAACAGTGGGTAGGAAATTGGATAACACGACATTAGAAACATACTACAAAAAGAATTCAGTGAATATAAGCGTACTGTAAATTCTTACGACGATTTTAGTTTTTTTTCGCCTGTCCGGCGCCTATCTGCCGGTAAAGACCGAAATCGCCAGACCGAGCTTGGAAATTAAAAAACAGTGGGTAGGAAATTGGATAACACGACATTAGAAACATACTACAAAAAGAATTCAGTGAATATAAGCGTACTGTAAATTCTTACGACGATTTTAGTTTTTTTTCGCCTGTCCGGCGCCTATCTGCCGGTAAAGGCCGAAATCACCAGACCGAGCTTGGAAATTAAAAAACGGTGGGTAGGAAATTGGATAACACTACATTAGAAACATAATAAAAAAAGAATTCAGTGAATATAAGCGTACTGTAAATTCTTACGACGATTTTAGTTTTTTTCGCCTGTCCGGCGCCTATCTGCCGGTAAAGACCGAAATCGCCAGAGCGAGCTTGGAAATTAAAAAACAGTGGGTAGGAAATTGGATAACACGACATTAGAAACATACTACAAAAAGAATTCAGTGAATATAAGCGTACTGTAAATTCTTACGACGATTTTAGTTTTTTTTCGCCTGTCCGGCGCCTATCTGCCGGTAAAGACCGAAATCGCCAGACCGAGCTTGGAAATTAAAAACAGTGGGTAGGAAATTGGATAACACGACATTAGAAACATACTACAAAAAGAATTCAGTGAATATAAGCGTACTGTAAATTCTACGACGATTTTAGTTTTTTTTCGCCTGTCCGGCGCCTATCTGCCGGTAAAGACCGAAATCGCCAGACCGAGCTTGGAAATTAAAAAACAGTGGGTAGGAAATTGGATAACACTACATTAGAAACATACTACAAAAAGAATTCAGTGAATATAAGCGTACTGTAAATTCTTACGACGATTTTAGTTTTTTTTCGCCTGTCCGGCACCTATCTGCCGGTAAAGACCGAAATCGCCAGAGCGAGCTTGGAAATTAAAAAACAGTGGGTAGGAAATTGGATAACACGACATTAGAAACATACTACAAAAAGAATTCAGTGAATATAAGCGTACTGTAAATTCTTACGACGATTTTAGTTTTTTTTCGCCTGTCCGGCGCCTATCTGCCGGTAAAGACCGAAATCGCCAGACCGAGCTTGGAAATTAAAAAACAGTGGGTAGGAAATTGGATAACACGACATTAGAAACATACTACAAAAAGAATTCAGTGAATATAAGCGTACTGTAAATTCTTACGACGATTTTAGTTTTTTTTCGCCTGTCCGGCGCCTATCTGCCGGTAAAGACCGAAATCGCCAGACCGAGCTTGGAAATTAAAAAACAGTGGGTAGGAAATTGGATAACACTACATTAGAAACATACTACAAAAAAGAATTCAGTGAATATAAGCGTACTGTAAATTCTTACGACGATTTTAGTTTTTTTTCGCCTGTCCGGCGCCTATCTGCCGGTAAAGACCGAAATCGCCAGAGCGAGCTTGGAAATTAAAAAACAGTGGGTAGGAAATTGGATAACACGACATTAGAAACATACTACAAAAAGAATTCAGTGAATATAAGCGTACTGTAAATTCTTACGACGATTTTAGTTTTTTTCGCCTGTCCGGCGCCTATCTGCCGGTAAAGACCGAAATCGCCAGACCGAGCTTGGAAATTAAAAAACAGTGGGTAGGAAATTGGATAACACTACATTAGAAACATACTACAAAAAGAATTCAGTGAATATAAGCGTACTGTAAATTCTTACGACGATTTTAGTTTTTTTTCGCCTGTCCGGCACCTATCTGCCGGTAAAGACCGAAATCGCCAGAGCGAGCTTGGAAATTAAAAAACAGTGGGTAGGAAATTGGATAACACGACATTAGAAACATACTACAAAAAGAATTCAGTGAATATAAGCGTACTGTAAATTCTTACGACGATTTTAGTTTTTTTTCGCCTGTCCGGCGCCTATCTGCCGGTAAAGACCGAAATCGCCAGACCGAGCTTGGAAATTAAAAAACAGTGGGTAGGAAATTGGATAACACTACATTAGAAACATACTACAAAAAGAATTCAGTGAATATAAGCGTACTGTAAATTCTTACGACGATTTTAGTTTTTTTTCGCCTGTCCGGCGCCTATCTGCCGGTAAAGACCGAAATCGCCAGAGCGAGCTTGGAAATTAAAAAACAGTGGGTAGGAAATTGGATAACACGACATTAGAAACATACTACAAAAAGAATTCAGTGAATATAAGCGTACTGTAAATTCTTACGACGATTTTAGTTTTTTTTTCGCCTGTCCGGCGCCTATCTGCCGGTAAAGACCGAAATCGCCAGACCGAGCTTGGAAATTAAAAAACAGTGGGTAGGAAATTGGATAACACTACATTAGAAACATACTACAAAAAGAATTCAGTGAATATAAGCGTACTGTAAATTCTTACGACGATTTTAGTTTTTTTTCGCCTGTCCGGCACCTATCTGCCGGTAAAGACCGAAATCGCCAGAGCGAGCTTGGAAATTAAAAAACAGTGGGTAGGAAATTGGATAACACGACATTAGAAACATACTACAAAAAGAATTCAGTGAATATAAGCGTACTGTAAATTCTTACGACGATTTTAGTTTTTTTTCGCCTGTCCGGCGCCTATCTGCCGGTAAAGACCGAAATCGCCAGACCGAGCTTGGAAATTAAAAAACAGTGGGTAGGAAATTGGATAACACGACATTAGAAACATACTACAAAAAGAATTCAGTGAATATAAGCGTACTGTAAATTCTTACGACGATTTTAGTTTTTTTCGCCTGTCCGGCGCCTATCTGCCGGTAAAGGCCGAAATCACCAGACCGAGCTTGGAAATTAAAAAACGGTGGGTAGGAAATTGGATAACACTACATTAGAAACATAATAAAAAAAGAATTCAGTGAATATAAGCGTACTGTAAATTCTTACGACGATTTTAGTTTTTTTTCGCCTGTCCGGCGCCTATCTGCCGGTAAAGACCGAAATCGCCAGACCGAGCTTGGAAATTAAAAAACAGTGGGTAGGAAATTGGATAACACTACATTAGAAACATACTACAAAAAGAATTCAGTGAATATAAGCGTACTGTAAATTCTTACGACGATTTTAGTTTTTTTTCGCCTGTCCGGCACCTATCTGCCGGTAAAGACCGAAATCGCCAGAGCGAGCTTGGAAATTAAAAAACAGTGGGTAGGAAATTGGATAACACGACATTAGAAACATACTACAAAAAGAATTCAGTGAATATAAGCGTACTGTAAATTCTTACGACGATTTTAGTTTTTTTTCGCCTGTCCGGCGCCTATCTGCCGGTAAAGACCGAAATCGCCAGACCGAGCTTGGAAATTAAAAAACAGTGGGTAGGAAATTGGATAACACGACATTAGAAACATACTACAAAAAGAATTCAGTGAATATAAGCGTACTGTAAATTCTTACGACGATTTTAGTTTTTTTCGCCTGTCCGGCGCCTATCTGCCGGTAAAGACCGAAATCGCCAGAGCGAGCTTGGAAATTAAAAAACAGTGGGTAGGAAATTGGATAACACGACATTAGAAACATACTACAAAAAGAATTCAGTGAATATAAGCGTACTGTAAATTCTTACGACGATTTTAGTTTTTTTTCGCCTGTCCGGCGCCTATCTGCCGGTAAAGACCGAAATCGCCAGACCGAGCTTGGAAATTAAAAAACAGTGGGTAGGAAATTGGATAACACGACATTAGAAACATACTACAAAAAGAATTCAGTGAATATAAGCGTACTGTAAATTCTTACGACGATTTTAGTTTTTTTTCGCCTGTCCGGCGCCTATCTGCCGGTAAAGACCGAAATCGCCAGACCGAGCTTGGAAATTAAAAAACAGTGGGTAGGAAATTGGATAACACTACATTAGAAACATACTACAAAAAGAATTCAGTGAATATAAGCGTACTGTAAATTCTTACGACGATTTTAGTTTTTTTTCGCCTGTCCGGCGCCTATCTGCCGGTAAAGACCGAAATCGCCAGAGCGAGCTTGGAAATTAAAAAACAGTGGGTAGGAAATTGGATAACACGACATTAGAAACATACTACAAAAAGAATTCAGTGAATATAAGCGTACTGTAAATTCTTACGACGATTTTAGTTTTTTTCGCCTGTCCGGCGCCTATCTGCCGGTAAAGACCGAAATCGCCAGACCGAGCTTGGAAATTAAAAAACAGTGGGTAGGAAATTGGATAACACTACATTAGAAACATACTACAAAAAGAATTCAGTGAATATAAGCGTACTGTAAATTCTTACGA